ATATCTTCTTGGTTCAGTTTTGGTTATTGGTTGTATTTAGGAATCTATCCCTATCTGTTGAAATCTCCAATTTATTGATGTAGATGTTTGCAAAATAGTTGCAAACATTTCTAATTACATTTAATTGGTCTTTTGTTTTTTTTTGAGGGGAGGATTAACTATTTGGTTTATTCGTCTGAAGAATCAGCTCTTCAATTTTTTTTTTTTTTTTTTTTTTGTGGTCTCAACTTCATTGATTTCTGGTATGGTCCTTATAATTTCCTCCCTTGTACTACATTTGGATTTGGAATATTCTTGCTTTTTTAGGACCTTTAGATGCCTCATTATTTATTTGGGCTTGCTCTGTTTTTCTGAAAGGGAATCTTTTTTTAGCACTCTATGTTTTTATAAAAGACATATGTACAGCCTTCCATTTGTCCATGCATGTTAATGATCTTTTTGTTAAGACTTTCCCAGGAACTCCATCTATAGAAGTGAACTGAAAAACACAATAACAGAAATATAGATACAAAAATAAAGTAATAACAAAGGCAAATAAAATCCAGTTGGTAGTTTAAAGACCATTAGTCTATTTCTTGACCTTTGCTTGGATTCATTATAACATTCCCAAAAGTGCTTTGAAAAACATATACAAGAATATTTGTGTGTATGTATGTGTCCACAGATGTATATTTCACTTTGTAGTAAAAACTTGTATTTGAAAAGAAAGTGCAACTATAAAAATGCTTAATCTTGGGCATGGTGGCACCTACTTGTAATCCATTACAGCATTCTGGGAAGCTGAGAGGAGGACTGCAAACTCAGCCTGGACAATTTAGGGACTTAGCAAGACCCTTTCTCGAAATAAAAGTTGAAAACCTTGGGGGTGTAGTTTAATGTGTAGGCCCTGTTTTCAATCCCTAGTACTAAAGAAAAAATTTATCATCTGTTGTATTGAGCAGTGAATGAAGAAAGGAAGGACTGGTTCTTGTAGCTCTGAATAAAATTTTATTTTATAGTTTTAAATGCTAATGTCCAGCTGAAGCACATACTCTTTTTTTTTTAAAGCACATACTCTTATATAGTCGTTAGGTTTTTTTTAATATTTGCTGATAATAGTAGTTTATTATAATACTTTTTCTTACCCAGTCTTCTGCTGCTGCCTGATTATTTTTTCCTTCACCAGTATGTTGAATTACCACAATTAGGGTACAGTTTTTAAGAAGTCCCACACAGCAGGATGTGAGCACACAGCATGAAACACTTGTACTGTGGAAAGAACACAAGTAATTATTTTTGTGTAGCTTACCTGTTGGGTTCAGTAACCTAAGCTAAGGATTTCAAGTTTGATCTTTAAAGTTACAGGTATTAAATTTTTGGAATTAAAGCCTTATATTGTGCAAGAACTGTGAGAGTTTATGTATTGAATGTCTGTCGAAAGCTGTGTGCATTCAGAAGTGGTACTTTTGGAAGGTGATTGTCCTGAGGACATTGTGTTCAGCATGAGTCTGTTCACTGGTGCTTTCTTCACTGAATGTGCCATTAGGAGGTGAGGGTTGATCTGGGAGGATGTATCTCCCACCGTGGTACCTCCCTTTCCTCTCCTGGCTTCCATGCATTGAGCTTCTTTCTACCATGACTTACTTCCACCAGGCTGTTCTGTGTTAAAGCCAGCTGAGTATGGACTCAGCCATGAGCCAAAATATACTTGCAGGGGTGGGCATTGGGTGTTCTGTCCCAGTAAGGAGGAAAGTGCCCATGACAAGAGTGCATCTCTGTGGTCCATGAAAAAATGGATACCAAGGCAGGTGTGGTGGCACACACCTGTAATCCCAGCAGCTGTGTGCCACCTGGGGTAGTGGAGGCCAGAGGATTGCTGGGAGTTCGAGGCCAGCCTGTACTACAGAGTGAGAACTTGTTTCGAAATAAAACAAAAAACAAATTCCAGGTGTCTACTTGAGGAAGAAAAGACCTGTTAGGACAGGCTTTGAGTTAAGAAAAAAGGATGCTCTTTCTTCAGTTGACAAAAGTGTGGAAAGGGAAGACAAGTGAAAATGCCTTCAAGACTGAGGGATGGTAGATGACACTTGAGGCTCTTCTCTGAAGAGATGAAGCATTCAGAACTGAGAGGTCCCCAAGGGAAAGATGAGTCTTGGGAGCCAAGAGACTTGGGTTCCAGGTCGAGCTACCATACACTCTTGGAGAGTCCCTGTGTCCAACTTTAAAGAAGCAGAGTATGGCTGTATATAGAAAACCCATAAGTTTCCTTTATCTGTATAATTGTTAGCTACTCTCCTGATTCCGTGTACACATAACATTATAGTTGGCCTCTCAGATAGTATACAACAGGCAAGAACACACTTTTTTTGTTGTTGTTCTCAGAATAAACAATCTGCTTTTCTTGTTTAGTTTCTAAGGTTGGTCTTATAGGAGCCTGTCCCTAAATGATGGATCTGGGCCAGGTGTGTGGACAAGGTTAGGTTCATAACTTGCCAGGCAGACCACATCCCAGGCTGGTGGCTGACTCACTAAGCAGGGAAGCCTGTGAGGCCTTTGAGGAAACAGGAGGCACTAGCCCTTCTTTGAGCAGCGGTGCCATTCCATTGGTGCAGGTAAAACAGCTTGCTGTTTCCTTTTTATGACATTTCACAGTTCTTGTAGGGAAGACAAAGGTATTACAGATTTCATGTACCATTTTGAAAAATCATCTTTGTCTTAGAGTAGTCACAGTACTTGGTAGGAGGCTTTGAAAAAGCCAGAATGTCTTGTATATGTTAGATTTATGCTTACTCAAAAGATATAATATGAAGCGCACAAGTGGGCCTTTTGGTTGAATACCTATCATCCATGTCTAATCTGCAGCCCATCTTTTTACTTTTTTTTTGTACTGGGGATTGCACACTCAGGACCTTGCAATTGATAGGCAGGCACTTAAATCTCTGAGCTATGTACCCAGCCCCTATTTTCCTCTTTTTAAAAAATGTTATAAGGAATGTAAAACATAAAGGAAAGTTTGTCACTTCAGTACATTAACTATGCTGTATAATTCACATGTGGCCTAAGACTGTAATTTTGCTACCAAATGATTGCAGAACTTTGTTGGTTTAAAATATAAAATATATTTTTAACATGTGAAATGAATAGTATTAGGTTAAATAAGAACTATGAGTCTTGTATTTTCTAGATTGCATTCTTACTCGCCTATAACAGTATTTGTATAATTTGGGGAAGTAAACTTTCTTTTCTTAACAATTCTAATATGTATAAACAAGGTTTTTTAGAAAAAGAGCTTTTATACTATCCATTGTAAAACAACTTTTTCTCTTAATAGTCTCTATTTACATGGGTTCCAATGACAATTATTTTTATGTTTCTATATTTATGGTAACTTTAGGGACGTGATAGACTTTCCTTAAAAATTCCTTAATTTAAAGGGAACCCTTATATTTCCTTAAAAATTATACTAATTTTTATAATTTTTAACATGAGTCTCCTTTTGGGCCATATAAAAAGTAGTTGTTCTTCTTATATCTTACGATTCTGATTACTATAATGACTGTCTTACTTAAATATAAACATTTATGTCTTCTAAGAATTAACATTTGCTTTCTTAAATATCTTTAGCTAATGGTAGTTAGTGCTTATGTATTAGAAAGTTTTCCATTGCTATGACAAAATAGCTGATTTAGTTAATTTATACAGAGGAAAGATTTATTTTGGCTCATGGTTTCAGTCCTTGGTTTCTTGGCCCCCTCACCTTGGGCCTGTGGTGAGACAGAATGTCATAGAGAGCAATACATGGTAGAGCAAAACTGCTCACCTTATGTCAGCCAGGAAGCAAGGAGAGAAGAAAAGGATCAGTGTTCTGATGTACCCGTCAGGGGCACACCCTCAATGACGACTTCCTGCAACTAGGACCTTCCTGCTAGAGTTTGCACCACCTGCCAATAGCACCAGCATCAGGGGCCAGACCTTCAGCACATAAGCCTTTGGGGGGATGGCCCATGTCCAATCTATTGTATTACAGCTTAGGGTTTTGGTTTTTATTTAACAGCCTCTTGAACAACAAATGGCTTTCAAAGTAATGTATGAGTAGGCACTAAGGTTGGATCACAGATAGCTATGATAATTTATCTACTACTGAAATTGGCCTGACCTCATTAGTAAGAATTCCAGAAGGTGTGATACCTATGCCATGTATTGTTATTCATTTTTGTCACTTAATAATTATTTGGAGAAATAAAGCCGTAAGTTTGGTGGAAAATTGTTTAGATTATTATAAAAAGTACATTATAAACTCTTTGTGAAATGTTGATTCTGTCCAGAGACATTTTACAAATGATCTGTCATGACTACTTATCAAGTTCTACATTACATTTTAAAAGGTAAACTAGGATTTTGCCACACTGAATACTAGTTTCTCAACTGTGTTTGGGTACTATATGACAACTAATGGAATGTATTCCTCCCTTGGAGATAATTTCTATTATCTTGCAAGTACCACAGTGCTATTTGGAAATCTATTCACTAAATAACATTAGTAGGGGAAAAATGCTATATTAATATTCTTCCAAATTGGAGAGAGCAAAAAGTAGTTCAGATTGGTACCTGTAACAGTACAACCCTTTCTCTGCACACTTTTTCAAGACTCACAGTGAACATGGTGTCACGGCATTCTTTTCAATCAGCAAAAACCACACCTCGGATAAACCTCACTGGCTGTGATACTGCCACTGCACAAAGCTTGGCATTCTTTTCATCCTTCTAATAGTTTGATTTTCATCAGCTCAGATATACATTCCATGACTAAATCTAAAAGTAATTGAAGTCTTGGGAAAGGTATCTTAGTCTCTCTGTGTGTTTTTCTGTTCTCCTCCTCCTGGCTAACAGCCTACCCGTGATAGTGGAAATAATAATTAACAAGCTATCATTCAGTGATCTGTAAGTTGCTTTCTTTGCAAAACCCTTAGCTTTTGGATGTTGTAAATCTCCTTTTAAATTTAATATTCTGTTCTTGTCAGGCCTTAGAGGAATACCTAAGGATGAAGCTGAATCTTACCAAGGTAGTTAATGGCTGCCGTCTAGGAAAAATACAAAATCTGGGCAAGACAGGAGACCACACCATGGACATTCCAGGCTGCCTTCTATACACCAAGACAGGCTCTGCCCCTCATCTCACCCATCACACTCTGCATGATATCCATGGGGTTCCTGCCATGGCCCAGCTTACACTCTCATCCCTGTAAGTATGAGACCCAGTCATTCAAGCATTGACTCTAGTGCAGCTTAGATACCTTAGTTGTGTTCACGAGAAGGAAAGATTTCTTTTGCTCATAGGTGTAATTTGTAGATTTTCAGAATAAAATCGTAAGACAGGTATCAGATATTACGCGAACTTTGGCCTTAATCCTACCACAGGTTAAACTTCTAGCATACCTTTGCTTTACCTTTTCTCCAAACTTGTAGCTCCATACACCATCCTAGTTCTACACCCTGAGATGCCAAGGCAGGGAGTGTTCTTTGAGAGCTAAACTTGGAGTTCGGGGGCTTCCTCATGCCCCAGCCTCACAGTTACTCAGCCTCTACTCTATGAGAGCAGTACTGATAGGGTCACATCATTTTCAGTAATATACAAGTTTATCTTTATACTAAATTGAAGCACCTGCTACCTAATGAAAAACCTTCAATATTGTGTTAATAACTAATTTGAAAGTGGCAAGAAAAGGAAAAAAATCCAAATACTCTGAAGCAATTTCTGTTCTTGCAGAACCACTTACAAATCAAAAACTCTGATTTTGGCTAATGAAGCCAGCCTAGTTAGTTGGCTCTCTTGAGTAGGGTGTACTTTGTTTCACAAGACATTTACTGTCCCAGAGCATATTTGGGTGAGGCACAAAGGGCTTATGTGGTACATAGTATCTGTAGAATGATTCATTATTGTGTCACATATTTCTTTGTCTTACTTACAGAGCAGAGCATCATGAGGTCTTGGCAGAATATAAGAAAGGAGTTGGAAACTTTATAGGTAAGGATTGATTAAGTTATTGTGTGTGCTTTGTGATGTGGGAGCACCCATGGTGGTAGACAGGTGTGGGGCAGACTCTCCTGGCACCAAACAGAGGCCAGAGGTGAGTACTTGAGTATGCATGAGATCTGGAGCAGTGTGTTATGTCTGAGCACAGAAGAGGATGCAGAGTTTATTCACAGCTATATTCTGATATGTTAGTGTCTTCTGTTCCAGAGGGAGGATTTTATGTGCAAATATATGTGTCCATTTACTTACAACAAAAGCTTAGTGATGAAGCTAGACAACCAGTTCTTCGGTGGGTCACTTTCTCTGAAAACTCTTTCCTAATACCTAGGACTCCCTGTAGTGCATGAAAATCCTGTTTCCGATGGTTATTCAGTCTTCTGCTTCTGAAGGAAATTGCATGATGACTTGTTGGTTCAGTAAAGGAATTTATATAATCATTCTTCTTGATTTGAGGCCAATTGTAATCACCAGCTTTAAAGTATGCAAGCATATAATTATATGAAAATAGCTAATATAAGCTATTTAGAGATAATTGTAATAACTGAAATTGTGGAAAATAAGGTGGAGAACTGCCGAAGTTTTTAACTTGGTTGTTTATTTTTGTCTTATGGAAAATGTGAGCTAGCCTGACATTTACACACATATGGTTTACTAATCATTTTTTTGAGTTTTAAAAAATGACTGTCTTTTTCATTAAGAGCCTAAAGAAACTGTCATCTTGAGTCAATAAGACATTGAGAAGGAGATCTATTTCCAGTATCCTATAGCTTCTTATAATTCTGCCCCAGGAGCTCATAAATATTATTATTGACATTATCATTTCACTTTTCCTTGTAGCTAGTTGCTTTTGGATAGTTCCTAGGATGAATATACTTGGTATTAAATTCTCTGTACCAGCTGATGAGATAGCTCAGTGGTCTAAAGTGCCTGCTTAGGCAAGCCTTAGCAGGCACAGGGGACCACGGTTTGATCCCCAGCACCATGTGCCATGCCAGCCCCGCCCTAAGGGCAGGCTGAGCCAGCCAACCCCCCCCAAAAAAAACCACACCCTAAATTCTCTGTACCAAATCAAATGAGAGCAACATGTCACTAAATATTTTCATTTTACCTCATATTGTAAAATACTTTTCCTTTGCAGGAGCTCATTGCATCATTAGCCATGGATGTCTATATTTAAATTTTTCTTTTAGATTAATTTTCAAAGCAGTGTTTAGGCCTCCCCTAACTTTTTTTTTCAACCCCCTGTGGTACTGGGGATTGAACTCAGGACCTTGCACTTGCCAGGCAGGTGCTTCTGCCACTGAGCTGTATCTTCAGCCCCAGGTACCAACTGTTTAGAGAACTGTCCACCATAGTACATGGTAAAGCTACTTCCGATTATGGCTCAGTGCAATTATTGGTGGAAGCGCTTTCAGTAGTTCTTTCGTGTTTACACAGGCATGCCGGAAATGCTTGTATACTGCTCCCTGCATGATCCAGTTAGCCCCTGCCCAGCTGGTTATGTCACAAATAAGGTATGTTCTCAGAAAGGCCTCCAAGGCTATAGAGTTAACCTCTTTTGTTGTTGTTATTGTTATTGTATTTTGTGCAGGGTCTCACTACACTGCTCTGACTCATAGTGAGCCTCCTCTTTCAGCCTTCTCAGCTCTGGGAATACAGGTGCATGCCATCGTGCCTAAACTTGGCTGTGCACCCAGGGGCGGGGCCAACGTGACGTATGGTGCCAGGGACTGAAACCCAGCCTCTGCGCTTGCCTAAACAGGCACTTAGTCTGCTGAGTTATCTCGCCGGCCCTTAGTCAGCCTCTCTTGTATGTCTCAGATGCTAGAATCTTTTTGTCTGGGACAATTTCTTTATGCTTTCTACCTATTTTGATAATTTTAACAGGATGGAATGGTTTATAAGAATGACTATGGTTGCCTAAGGTTGTGTTAAGGTGAATAATTTAGTCCAAATGTTTTTTTAATCACAAAAAGTTACAGATGGAGAAGGTCAAGCAGATGCCAAAAAAAGAAATTGCTATGATGGGAGAAAACAGTAATCATTGATACCATGCTTTATTTGCAGTTTTAACAACTTTAGGGAGCGTAGGAAAGTTGCTGATGAGTGTTATCACATGTAACACTATATATAGTAAGACCTCAGTATAATACTGCTTGCTGGTAGAACAGAATTGAAAAAGCTGGGTCTGCAGCAAGAAAATTTAGCTAGTGCAGAGCTGTATCAAAAGGGCTTCATTAAGAGTTTTTGTTCAGGCAAGACCTCGCTTTGTACTGCTGCTCTACAAATGCTCCATTTTCTGATCCCCACGTCAATAATCTCTTAATTATGCTTTTTACTATATCAAGTCCAGTATGGTGGCACACACCTGTAATCCCTGTGTTCTAGGAGGCTGAAGCAAGAGGATTGCAAGTTGAAGCTCATCCTGGGCAATTTATAGACTTTGTGAGACCATGACTCAAGAAAAGGTCTGAGAATATAGCTCAGTGCAGAGGGCCTGGAGTCAGTCTCCAGTATGCAAAAAACAAAACAAAAAACATCACCTACAACAAAAACACTATTTTCAGTTATTTTGTTTTGTTTTATTTTGTAACTTGAATTCAAGAGAAAATATTCTGACCACAGTTATTCACTCCATTTGACAGAGTATTCATTTAAACAGTGTTCTTTTGCCTTACTGTAGACTAGAAAGACTGTATGTGTCCTCTTCATATGTGTTCTTAGTCATATCTTCAAAGATCAGATAGTGTAGAGTTAAGAGCAGCCAAAGATGGAAAATTGATGTTTTCTTTACTGTTCTCATTGCTGAGACAAAATACCTGACACAAAGTTGATAGAAGAAAGGTCTTAGAGGTTTCAGTTCATAGTTGGCTGGCTCCAAGGCCGGGTGGCATAGTAGAGGAGAAACAGTTCATGGCAGGCAGAAGGCAGCAAAGTAGTGGAGAGCAAGCAACAACGGCAGCCCTCTTTCTGTCCATTATATTCTATCATAAGGGTGTGTGGCATCCATCTCTAGGGAGAGACACCCTTAATCCCAGCATTGCACACTCTAGATACAGGCACCACCCAAAAGCTCCACCTATACTGCATGACATTTTGGGGGACATGTAGACACCAGTCCTAACATTATATAACTTTTCTTGAATTTTGGGATTGATGGCTTTGCATATGCTTCCGTATCTAGCCAGTAAATGCTTATTATTATTGTTAATGTTTGGGGACCTAGACTGTGCTTTTGTGATACAGATATGAATTGTGATAGTCTAATTAGATAACTATAAAATGCTATAAGTGTCAAAGAATAAGTACAAATTGCTGTAGGAGTTTAGAAGAGCAAGTAATTGATTATGCCTGAGAAAGTTTGTGAGAAGACAGGAAAGTAGATGATATTTAAACGAAGTTTCTTAAAGAGTGCATAGTATTTGGCCAGGCAAAAAAGTAAAAGGGCGTTTCAGTGAAAAGAGAGAATGTGATCAAAGACAGAGAAGAGTCAAAAATCTGTGGTTTATCCAGGCCAGAAAGAGTGGGGTCGAGGAGGAAGATAGGAGAAGGAACAATAGGAGATTGTGCTAGAAAAGCATGACAGAATTCTTTGAGGGCCAGTTCAGAAGTCCACTGATGGACTCTGGGAGCTGTTAGTTCCCTCGAGAATTTTTAATATAGTATAATTCTTTCCCCTACTGTGTCTGGGTTATGGAATCAACATCTCTTCAGTTGTAATGAATTGTGCTTTATCATTTTATTGTGTTCTTTTGATTTGTGTTTACTCTTGCTAATTCCTCACTGTCTTGCTCCATGGCAGTCTGCATCTGTATGGGGTGGTGGAGGAAGAGTAGAAATGACAGTTTCCAAGTTCATGGCAATTCAGCAGGCCCTTCAGCCAGACTGGTTCCAGTGCCTCTCAGATGGAGAGGCATCTTGTGAGGAAGGAACTTCCATAAAAAGAGCCAGAAAGTCCGTAGACCGATCACTTCTGTTTCTGGACAGCTGTCTGCGGATACAAGAAGAGTCAAAGGTAAGGCTTTCCCACTGACCACTCCTTCCTTCGGAAGTTTGACATTCCTCCCATCCCTTGATACCACCTTTACAGTCCTCTTCACACTTCCCTTGCTTCTTGGTCTGAATTATTTGCTCCTCTTTTTTTTCCCCAAACTCTTAAGTATTATTCTCTAATATTTTATTTTAGGCTCTATCACACTCTGTATGTTGTCCCCAATTAGTCACCCCTTATTTTTAACTGCTGCTTAATTCTAAAGTTGTATATACTATCACGATCGTTCTACTGAGCTTCACAATTACATACTAGCTAGATTATATCACTAAACTGTCCACAAAACTCGGAGGTAACTGGTCTCTTGTCTCATCTCCTCAAAGCTGTTCTTCCCTGTGCTCTTCCTCAGTACTTTATCTCAGTTCATGGCATCCCCCAAGTTCTTCAGTCTGAAAATTTAAGCTTTTCAAGATCCTTTTCTTTCTTATGAATATTTAATATCCAAGTGTTCCTTGAGCCTGTCACCCCAAGTTTGTCTAGAATTAGCTTCTTCCTTACCTTTCCTGTTTCCACCATAAGCCATGACCTCATTATCTGTGTTGACCAGTGTTGACCTTGAATTGTTTTTTCGACATCCATTTTCATTTCTGCCCAAGCCATCTTCAGCCCTGTTTTCCAGGAAATCTTTGTAACGCACAAATATGAGTCCATTGCTCATTATCCTGTAAGAATTTGACTCCACTTCAACTTTACATGACATGGGCAGTCAGCTGGGATCTGACTACTACTTTAGCTCATTATGGGCTGCTTTTGCCTATGGCCTACACTCTGGCCCTCCTGAGTTATTTTTAGTTCCTTGAGGCATTTGCCTTTTTCTTTTTGGGGCTCCTGTCCACAGACCTTCTGAACTATTTTTTATTGTTTTAAATCCAGCTATATTCCTCCTCTTGCTTCAGTCTGGTTCATTCTATTCATTTTCCTGGAAGACCGGTCCCTGCAACTTCCAGAAGTTTTATTCATCCTTTGCTATCCCTTTAATTTGTATGTAGCTATATTATTGCATCAATCACATTGTGTTGCAGTGATTTCCATACACATTGTCTTTATGAAGCTGTCTCTTCCTTAAGCTCAGTTTCTGTATGTCATTTGTATGTCTTTACCATGACAGTAAACCCTCAGTAAACATTTGTTGATGGAGAATGTTTATATGGGGTTGAGGAGTGTCAACCTAGAGCTAAATAAGGAAACCTGAGAGCGGAGTTATTGAAGTGGAAAAAGGATGCATTTATGAGGAGAAAGCAGAAGAGGTAAGGGCACAAAAGGTACTGATCAGTGCAGAGAACATTGGTATTTGAGATAATTTACGTGGAGTAATCCTGACAGTGGTTGGGTTCCACAGTGGCAAAGCATTCAGGAACATTCTTATTTTGAGTCTGTCTGAAAATAAAAATGTAATTTGGCTAATAAGCTTAGTATATATTTGCAATAATTAGAGGAAACTTAGTTACCATTCTGCATAAAATTCAGAATATCTGCAATAGAAGTCCACCATGGGGACCTTGCTAAGGGCTGGACAGTTAGTCTTGGCTTGCTAATGGTTGTTCTGATCCAGTAATTATTTTTGTATGACCAGTGACTTTTGGATAAAGAGACAATAGGGAAAGCAGTGTGACAAAGTTGATCATTAGAAAAGGAAGATAAGCCTCAAATCTCTCATCTGTGTTGTTGTAATCACTTCTGCGCATTAATCCAACGAAAGGGGTCCTCTGCATCCCTTATGCTCACACTGTTGTCTTGATATGACTATTATTAGTATCTCTCTTTGTATAATATTAAGTATAACATTTTAGACAACATTAATATGATCATATTTCTTATATCCATGAAAGTGAATTTCCCAAATAGTGCTGTGATAGTTGTACGAAGGGGCAGGCCTGTGTAATTGTCTCCATATATTCCAATATATATCTTTTCCTTTTTCTGTGACTACTTTTCTCACTTTATTTGCTGGATATTCTTACTTTGAATGCTCTTTAATATTGAAGCCCCAAGAGCCTGCGATATAGCTCAGCAGCATAAGCACCTGTCTGGCAAGCACAAGGTAATGAGTTTGATCCCTATTTTCTTTTGTACCAAAAAATAAAAAAATTGAAGCTCCACAAGGTTCAGTTTTTGACTTCCTTTTCTTTCTACATGAATTCCCTAGTTCAGAAATAGCAAATAGATTGTATCCAAGGTGCTTAGAGTCCTATCTAGGCTCTATTAGCCTTGTCTGCCATGGAAGCAGGAGGTGGCGTTTTGCCAAGTGTCTACAGCTCTAGCCTAAGCCATTTCATTTGTATCAGTATATCCATATCTTAAGCTTCATGTATTCAGTGATTGAATTAAAACTGTCATTTGTTCATCCCACTGATACCTCAGAGTTAGCACACATAAAACAGAATAATCACAGTGCTTCATCTTCTTCTGTTTTTCTAGGATTATTTCCTGTCTTTGTTCATAATACAATCTCCCTGGTTTTCCAAAACAGAGACCAGTGTTCATTCTAGAATTAATATTCATCCTCCACTGAGAGGGCCAGTCTGTCAAGTTGTATTGACCCTACCTGCTGATACGTCACACTTTATCTCTCGACTTTATCCCACTGCTACTTCCTTAGTCCAAGCCATGTCTTCTTAGTAAAGTTGTATCCTACTTTACCCTTAAATTATTCACTGTACTGCAATAAAATTTTTTTTCCATATAAATAGTCTGATTGTGTTCCTCTTCTTTAAATGGAAGAAATTCCATCTTCACAGTATTTCAGATTTCCTCACCATCTCTCTTTCTCCAGACAGCCACTGCTCATTTGTGTATGTTTGTAGGAGCTTTATTTTTTGCAGTTATATACATATAGTTATTACATACATATGTGTTCATAAATACGAACATATGTTCAGGAATTTGCTTATTTTTTTTATTAACAATGTCCTGAGACTTTCCCTGTGAATGTACAAATTATTATATCTACTGCATTCTTTTTAAAATAGCTGCATAAATTGGTCAGGCAATGGCTGTGACTCATCCACATGGCTGACACTGACAAAAGATTGACAAACTGCTGTACAGGGCTTCAGTATAAATCCTGAGGGGATTTGACTCACTTTGTCAGATACACAAGTTACATTTTCATTATATAGGCCTTGCTTTATCTTGGTCGTAACCATCCAGCAGAAAACTGTAAAACCAAGGTATAAAATGTAAAGCCATATTAATATGCTGAGCTGTAAAAGGCTCAAGTCAGCTTCTGACATTGCTAGTCCTACGGATAACCCACTACTATTATAGACTACTGGACTGCATTGGATTACTTTGCTGAATTCATGCACCTACAATATATGAATGGCAATGGAATACACATCTCTGACAAAAGTAAAC